GTAATATATTTACTGAGAAAAATGGTGACGTGTTCAATACTTATTTTACCCGCTGTATATGTGCTTCTATCATAATGAGATTATATTTCACAGATTATAATCAAATTAAACTTAATGTTTAACCAGTGAAGTTTCATTTAATAGCAGACCAAGGACCTTACTTCACATTCTAAAGATTAAAGATTTTCCTGATGTGAAARGCCTCCTGAGAATCAGTGATGCCTGCAGCCGACCAGGCGAGCTTCTGTCACAAAAATATAATTAATATCTGCAGCTGGTGGAGAGCAGCAGTGCAGCATCACAGCTGACAGTTGTCCCAAGAGTGGACGTCTRGACGAGTTCACCTCGTGGTCAGATGCTGCGAAATGCTCAGAGAAGCCACCAAAAACTACAAGAACCTCATTGAAGGCTGGACAGGCTCCCGTCAGTGGTTTTTTTCTTATAGTTCAAGACAAAAAAAAAAAAAACAGCCGAACAATTCACTTATTTGCAGCATCAGACAAACACAGATCTTTGTGAGAAAAAAGAGGCAGACTACCATGTTTTGAGTACAGTACTTCAGCATTTATTCCATGCAGTTGTTTGCTTTGATTTTATTCTCCTATTGCACTGTACACTGAAGAATACAGGAAACTGACAGGATTGGTTGATCATAATGCCATTCAACAGGGAACGAGAGCAAAATCAAAATGGTTCGATACATAGATTGAGGTAACATGATGTCCACAGTTAGAAAAACTAATTCACAGAAATTCAGATGTAAGTTTTTGATATTTCGATAAAAATGAGAGGAATGAGAGAAATTGGCTTCACGCGTGCCTCCAGGCTGGTTCTGACAGCCTGCGATGGGATGATAAAACTTTAGGGATGTTTCTAACTTCTTGTGCCTACGTACTCAACGATAACCTAAAAGATGAACGATCCTCCTGCAGAGTTGTATGATACGACGCTTTTGTTCTACCGTACAAATACTGTCCTCTTCCCACACTTCTTCATTGTGCTTCCTTTAAAACCACAGTTTTTAGGGACATTAAAAAAAGGGAAAAACATTGGTCATGACATTTTCTGAAGCTGCCTGAAACGATAAAGAATACTCCTTCAAAATAAATTAATTCATTAATTATGTAGGCCAGCTACTTAGAGAAACCTTAAATTAAAACACAACAATCATATTTCACAGGATGTAAGCCAGAGAAGACAGTGTTATCATTAAGAGCTTGATCAGATTACCCAGCCCGTCACGTTACACAAGGTTATTTCACAAAACCAAGAGAAACGGGGGGCGCTCGGGGTTTTTTCAAAACAATCCAGCAAAAAAAATGGAATTCATCCATCAGCAGTGTTTCAGATTCACCCTTGCTTTTACATCTCCCTGGAGTAGTGTTCAATACTGATACATCTTTATCATATTTTTAAACCAGATCTGTGTGATACGAGACAATATGAAAAAAAAAAATCATACCACACTGCTTTTTTTTTTTTTTTTTACATTTGTTTATATACTGGAATAACACTGAGATGTGGAAACCAAAAACAGCTGTAGGCCTCTTGTCTCTAGCTTGATACTCACGAGCCGTTATCGTTCGCTGCAACTCCGGCTGATGAGATTATGACAAGGGGGATTTAAAAAATGCTTTCACAAATGCAGTATCCCTCTTCAGACGATCAGGCAGGAAAAAGTTATATTGCTGGGGTTTTTAAGACGAAAATGTTAAAAGGAAACTGATTTTTTTTTACATACACAAGGTAAAATAAGTACGTGTAGCCATCGCCATCTAGAGGCTGTTCATATATTGCTGCCAATCAGCAACACAAAACCTGAGCATCGAACTCCAGAAAGGCAAAAAAGTAAAAAAACAACAAAAAATGGACAGAGTTTAAAGCCGGAGCCACCTGTCAGCGTGGTTAAGTCTAGCCAGCTAGACGTCCTGCATCCTGAGCAAGCCTCACCTGAGAGCTAAACTGCGTGAGAATTATTATTTATTGCTGTTCGTTTCACAACAGCAGACGACGATCGTTGTGTTCCTGATCTAGAAAAATACGAGGCGTGGGACACGCTGCGCCTCTCAACGCGAAGGGATACTGCACCTGGATCGCAACTCAAATCCTTTAACATTTCTTACAGCGATAAAGGGTTGAACATCAAGGCTTTTTTTTATTTTAAAATGGTCCTGCACGGTCCATGTGCCAGTCAAAGAACATTCCTTCATACGATAGTTGGTCCGGTCCAGTTTCAGTCTTCAAACGCTCCTGAGATGAGACTTGAAACTGTAATGTCTAATGATGAGGGAAGTGGGGGCTTATTGTTCACATCCTCACACACAAACAAACAAAAACTCCCCTCAGAAACTCCACTCGGGACATCTGATTGCTGACGGCGTGTCTTAAAGAGGGGATTTTTATTTTTGTTGAAGCTCGTCCACTTCACTTCGTAAAGCTTTTGTTCTTTTTTTATTTTATTTTATTTTTTTGCATCGTGCGAGCTGCACAGGCATGCTTTATCAGCTGCGTGGGGCATCGTGACACACGTATGGAGGTTTCAGAGAGGGAGAAAGGTCCAAGTTGTTCATGCTGGTGTTCATACTGTTTCCATGAGCTCATTGTTCCCCCGTTTCAGCCGCAGAGGGGACAGAATGAAGGAGGGGGGGTCTCTGCGCTGTAAACTCATAATGAAGCTGTTTGGTCAAACTGCCCGGTGTGTATTTTTTTGTTTGTTTGTTTTTTGTTTTTTTAAGGGGGAACTTTCACACGAACAAACGTTGAGAGCGATGCAGCTCCTCATGGCTGTCAGGCCTCAGAAACACGATACACTCTCATCATCATCATCATCCAGTCACAGTTAACACACAGTAAGCCCACGCTTAGTTTCAAAATGTCAGTTTTTGTTTTTTATCCTCTGCTCAGGTCAGAGAACTCCTGAATTTCTCCTCAAAACTCAAAATAAATTAGTGTTAAGCTATCTACTGTACATTAGCATTCAAACGGGTTTTCCCTGCCATGGGTTGCCTGGGTGCAGTGCTTCGATGAGGGGATTACATTTGACTTTGCTATAGGGGAGAGATTCTACCATCTTGTTCTCTTATTGCTGTGTTTGGTTTGGTTTGGGGGGTGGGACGTGATGGCTGCCAGGCGTAAAAACAGGTGCGGGTTTCACCACGAGGACGGAGCTGCCACTTTGTTGTTTCTGATGGTGGTATCAGAGCACTCCGCCTCTGACGAATCACAGTCCGAGTCTCCGAACTGCAGAGGATTCTGAGGGTCGAACGGGGAGAACAGAGATGTTAGTCACGAGATCTTTACATTCCAAATTGATTTAAAGGCACAAACGGCCGCCGGCCACCGACCTCGTAGCTGTGTTCGTCAGAGCACAGCTTCCCCAGCGAGATCTGAGTCTTCACCCGGCGGACGGCGCACTCTTTGTCAGAGAGTCCGTCCGACTGGGTGGAGATGTCGATGGGGATGTCCGGCGTGTGCGACAGCAGCTCGTCCAGGTGCTCCTCCTGACTGGCGCTCAGCTTCTCCAGGGGTCCGCTGTGGGAGTGGTCACTGGTGTTGCCCTCCTCCCCGTCAGAGGCCGACAGGTTCTCGGAGCTGAAGGTGGAGTAGGACTGGAAGCTGCTCATGCAGCGGTGAGGTCTGTCAGGAGGGGGGCGGAGAAAGGGGCCTCTTCATTTTCATTCAGCAGGGTTTTATTACGATGTAGGAAGAAGAATCGTTTAACTGAATTGCACTAATTGATTTAAAAATGTTGCAACACTTTTAAAAAGGTCAGGTCTGTAAACAGCATTTTACCTCTGTCTCCTTGGAAACTCTACTTCACTATCCACCTCTCCCTCCTCCTCTTCAGATGACTCATCACCCTGAAAACAGCGCAAACAGCTGGTAATCCACAGAAAACAGTTTCTGCAGCACAAATGTTCCCCACACCTGCATTGATTCTAGGCCAGGGGTGGGCAATCCTGGCCCTCGAGGGTCGCAGCCCTACACGTTTGATGTTTTTCCCTGCTCCAACACACCTGATTCAGACATTAAATTACCTCGTCCAAGTTCTGCGGTATGGAGGACCGACATTGACATAACTAGAAAAAAAATCAGAAATATATAAATGGACCAATAAATAAATTCAATGAAAAATGCGCCAATTAAATTTAAAAAGGAGAGCTTTACCTCACGTTTTATAATTTAATTGACCTTTACATTTATTTTTCCAACTTAGTTCCAACAAATAATATATCTTTGCACATAATTTACATTTTACTGTTTTATATATATATATATATATATATATATATATAAACAGTAAAATGTAAAAATGCAGGAATTAAGCAGTTATATGCAAAAATATAATATTTGTTGGAACTAAGTTGGAAAAATAAATGTGAAGGTCAATTAAATTATAAAACGTGAAATAAAGCTCTCCTTTTTTAATTTAATTGGCYCATTTTTTATTGAATTTATTTATTTAGCTGTCTGTCTGTATCCTTTTTGAATTATATTGGTGCACTTTAAGTGTATTTATTGATTTATTAGTCAATTTATATATTTACGCTTTTATTTTTAATTATGTCAGTTTCGGTCCTCCGTATGCAGAAGCCTGATAATCACCCATTCATTCAAATCAGGTGTGTTTGAGCAGAGAAAAAAGTAAAACACGCAGGGCTGCAGCCCTCGAGGACCAGGATTGCCCACCCCTGTTCTGGGCTCACCTTCCTGAGAGGCCTGATGGTGCGGGGCAGTGAAGAGGGGAGAGGGTGTTTGGGCTGGGTCGGGTCCAGTTCCTGAGGCTCAGCCTTCTTCGTGTCGTCTCCACCTGCCTCTTGGTCAGGTGCCCCCGAGGAGGACTGGGTGCTTTCCTGGGGGCCGAGCAGCGAGCAGTGCGGTAACGGCAGGTGGCCGAGCATGGCTGGGGTCTCCTGGCAGCGCAGGCAGCCGGGGAGGGGGTGAGCCTGGCAGCAGGGACACAAAGAACCAGCCCCCGGGACGGGATTGGAGCTGGTGGATGAAGTCCGCTGCCGCGTGTTGACGTCCATCGCCGTGGAGATGAGGTCAGGGCTGGAGCCGGAGACGAGGCGCTGCATGTGGTCAGTCTGGGGGCTGCGGAGAGCGGCGGCGGGGCCGAAGTACCGCAAATTGTTGGCACAGTTGACCACAGCTTCCTCACGGCCTTTCAGGGGGAGAAGCTGCCCCTCAGCGGGCGGGCGGTGATGATGATGATGATGATGGTGGAACGGCTGCTCCTGCAGGGACTGGGTGTCCTCCGGCACCCCAGCAGCCAGCTTCAGCGCAGCAGGAAACTCGCCGTGGCTTCCTTTGCTGTTGGCGCGGCGGTGGCGAGGCTTACTTCGGTAGCGGGTTTTTCCAGGCGGCGTGGAGACTTTGGGGCTGCCTGAGAGCGGGGAGGGGGAGGGGAGGGGGTCAACGCTGGGGATGCCATCAGAGCGGAGCAAGTCTGGCCTGTGGAGGGAAAAAACATTATGAACAGATACATTTCTCTAGTATTAGCTGAGAAAACATCTCCAACATTGACAGTTTGTTTACACGTCTCTGTGTATGATGTGTCACATTATTATTATTATTATTATGAACAGATAAATTTCACATGAGAAAGAACCAGTTCAGACCTTTTGGTGGGGGGCAGTCCAGGTTTGTGGGAGATGCTTCCTTTTTTCTTAATGAGCTTCTCGACAGCGTTGGACCTGACGATGGGTCGAACCAGGTGGCGTTTGTAGGACCCGGGGTATTTCTTCTCCACTGCCTGCTCCCTCCTACAGCCACAGCTGAGTTACTTTAGTTTTTATGATTCGGAGGAGATTCTTAAACAAATGATGACTTCAGTAACAAAACATTTATCTACGTACTTCATGAGTTCCTTCTCTCGGACCTCCAGTTGCAGCATGATGGCACTGAGCTCCATGTACAGGTTGTTGGCTCTCTCCAGCTTCCTCTCGTAGTGCTCCCGGATGTCCAGTGCYTGCCTGGAGGGAACGGGGCGATGCAGAGACACGTTACTCATCCTGCCTCTCTGCTCTCTAAAAATAGACAAGTGGGCTTGTTTACGTCTGCTGACAGACCTGAGCTCATCCCTCCTGCGTCGGATCAGCTCCTCGTCCAGCCTGTGGATGCACGTGCCCTCGCTTTTGATCTTTTCAAAATGTTTCTTCACTTCCTCCCTCCATTCTGCCTGTGATATCAATAAACAGAGGGAAAATGTGGCTGTCGAAGCYTGCTGAAACATCTGACTTTTATAAGAACGTGGTTCGTTTGTTGTTTTAGTCCAAACCTGAGACTTGAAGTAGGTCTCCTGAGGAGTTCCCAACACGTCAGCAGCAGCGATGTCAAGATGTAGGAGAATCTGACGGAACGAAGGTCTGTTTCTAGGCTTGCCCTGCCTGGAACCGGTAAAAACCACAAYGTGCTTACAGTTTGTCAGAAGTTCAAACAGAAGCAGCAGCTAGATTTGATCCAAACGCACCATGTTTGCTTCATGAGGATTTTAAATCCATCCGGGCAGGTGGAGGGGACCGGAAGGTGTAAACTGTTGCTGCCGACACCCCAAATGATGGCGGAGGAGTCGACGTCTTTGTAGGGAATCTCTCCTGTCAGCAGTTCCCATAACACAACTCCAAATGACCTGCGAGACACGAGTAASACGCACACCTCTACAACCAAACAAAGATTATTATGTTTCAAACGTGTCGCGTTCCCACTCACCAGATGTCGACTTTTTCAGACACGGGCTCGTTTCTTATGACTTCTGGAGCCATCCACGCCACCGTCCCCGCAAATGACATCTTTGTACTTTTATCGCTGAGCTCTTTAGACGTTCCGAAGTCCGAAATCTTCACAGTGTCGTTGTGTGTGACCAAAACACTAAAACAGAAAAAGAAAAACTTGATTTTTTTTCTCTTCCTGTTCCGTGACACATTTCACCGTTTTCACAGAAGCGCATTTCTGAGTCACCCCATTAGCTAAATGAGACTGATGCTTCCAGCGCTTTCAGCTATCTTTCTGCTGACTAATGGAGTGTTTGGTCCTGCTGCTGCAGCGTGATATTGATTAGAGAGACAGCTCTACAGATACAGAACCAAAGAGGATGAGAKAGGAGCAGCAGAGGAGGACTGAACTTTCTGTCTTCAGTAACACAACTAGCTTTTATTGTTGCTGCATTAGATCAAACGTCACGTTCTTCAGAGCTGAAGGAACGACTTGTTGCTGCTGCTGTGATCAAAGACACAGCTTGTGCGTGATAAACCAGCAGAACATAATAACTTTGCCATCCAATCAAAAGAAAACCCTGCTCACTTGGGAGACTTGAGATCTCTGTGGATGATCTTGTGCAGGTGGAGGTAGTTCATCCCGCTGGCGATGCCCGAGGCCCAGTCCACCAGCAGCCTGGGGGTCACTTTCCTCCCCGCCCTCAGCACTTCGTACAGCTGACCCTGTGCACAGTACTCCATGATGATGCAGTAACAAGGAGCCTGGGTGCACACACCCCTGGGGTACAATCAAACAAACACACACAGGGAACGCTTTTATAGACGAGACGATAAACCCAGAACTGAAAGCAGTGGACCGGAGACCGAAAATGATGAGACGTACTTAAAGCTGATGATGTTGGGGTGCTTGAGCTTTCGCAGGTGTTTAATGTCCGTCTCTTTCTGCTCTCGCACCTTCTTGATGGCCACCTCCTCAGAGCGAAACTTGCCCAAGAAGACGGCTCCCTGTGCACCGCTGCCCAGCCACTGCAGCTCCGAAATCTCCTCAAACGGGACTTCCCACATGTCTGCAATCAGTTTAGTTATATTTCATCACAACACTCTCTTAATGTGACTCTGAGCAGTGTAGTAAATAAACAAGTTTGGTCACATGCTCTGTAGAAGGAACAATTACAAGCTTATCTTGTAAGTTTCTTCAAAAATGAAGTTATATGCTTTGAGGCCAAACATTTACAAAGTATTTGAGGGATGCAAACACAAACGAATCACATAGTAATTGTATTCAGCCATAAAGACCAATATTAAACCTAAAGTCCTGCACAATGATAGCCTGGCCCGTGCCTTCCTATGCAGTTCTGCTCATTTCTAGTTTCCCTTCACTGCTKCATGTGGGACTTCTCCCATAGACGAGGATTTCTTCAGGAGAATTTCATCCTGGCCAATCAGAGAACACGTTGATTTTCTGCYCAGTGTCMGCTAGTTAGTTTAGCTACGGCAGTGGAGGAAGTGAATGAAGCCCGTCTGTGTTGATAAGGCTTCCAAATTAAATTAAATATTTCTGATAAAGCAGCAGCATCATTTACAGTTGTCTCGTTCAGCTCAGTACTTTTCTCCTCTCAGTAGGGTTGTTTACAGTGCACACGATTTCTGGTTAGCTTCTTAGCTTAGCCTCCHTTACAGTGGAGCTGGCACGCATACCAACAGATCCAATGGGCCTCATGCAAGAACCGTTCATACGCACAGATTTGTTCTTAAGTTGTGCGTACGAGTGGTTTAAGAGAATTTGTGGCATTCACCGATGTTTTCGTATTCCAAGATTTTTTTCAGATACAAACAAAATTTACGAGTGGTCCAGACCTGTCGTATATTTTACGAGCAGTCAGTCTGCTGTTATCCAGACGGGTTTTCTTCACTAATAACTTTATATTTCGTTATTTAGAAAATATTTCAAGTTGAAAATAAATCACACTCCATAATTATGTTGACAGTAGGTTATTCTGTTTGAACTGGAATTAGATTTTAARGACATAAATTGATTAGATTAAGTTAAATTGTCTTTTAATGCTGTTGTATAACACTACAATGTTAATATGAAGATCTCAAACTAAAAAACAACTTAAATTATGCATTAATTGAAGTTTGGAGACGTTATAAAATGCGTCTTTTCAGAACCGCATCTGTCACTTGCGACCGCAGGGAGTGGGGAGACGGCCAGGCTGGGGGGGGGGTAGTGGTGCACAACCACCCTTCTTCTGAATAAATGTAAACACAGTAACASTTGTTTACACWTAAATTAAAAATATTTGACCAAAGAAAAACCGGAGCTGGACTAGAGAGAGATGAATATGATTTATATTTTTATTTCTGACTGTAACGACCCACAGGAGACACAGCATTAACAGCACATTTCATTCCTTTAAGCAGCTCCTTTAATTCCACAGTTGACGCTGCTAAAGAGAACAATTTTTTTTCTCGATCTCAGAGAGCAGGACTACAATCTCCGAACTCGTAAAGTTCTTCTTTTTTACTTTTCAATGTCGTTTATGAATGGACACTTCCTGGTATGTGTGGCAGGAAACATAGCCTTATATGGTGTTTTTGGGGTGATAATTATGTAAATAACCTCTCCTCATGCACGAGCAGCTGGATACGAACAGGTGGAATTTACGCAGCTCATTTACACACTTTTCATGAAGATAGAAGAGCTTGTTGAATCTGACGTGGCATGTTCGTACGAACCCTTCATACGAACAAAAGTAAGATAAATTTAGGATAAGAATACGAACGTTCTTGCATGAGGCCCATTCATTTTAAACTTCAGCAGAGGCCATGCCTTTAGCAAGAATCGCTTCTCTATAGCCGASAGTCCAGACCCTTGTACGAAGCAAAGCGAAGAACAAGGGTCTGGTTTTAACCAGGCTAGCACATTGATGACCTAAAAACAACTTTAACTATCTGTGCAGTGCTGTTTTTGTTACGTAGTTTAGGAAACATCAGGAAGAGCAAAACTAGCAGCACTTAGAGCTCAATGCATGGCTGAATAATGGCCAAATCAAGCCCAGTTTTGTCTGACCTCGCCACATATCCGCGTGTCCAGCCTGAACAGGCAGCCCAGAGCAAGGTGAGTCTACCTTTACCAATGACCTCAATTCAAACTGACAGCAYTGCAGCCGCACTAGGCTTCAGCTGGGAACAAATATTCAGTTACGGTTTTTTGGATACATTTCAGGAGGGAATTGGGTTTTTTTGTCTCTCAGAGGTCTTTCAGAGATGGACACGTTCTAATTAAACAGAGAGGTTTTAGTTTTGTTAAACTGACGTCACACAGAAAGATGAACCCAGAGCTAACCTTGCTGTTGCAGCTTGTATTCTGTGGAATACGTTTTCCCTATAATGTTCCACACGGGCCGAAGACAACCGAACAGCCCCTCCAAGAAGCCGCCGGAGCCGGGCCCCACTCTTTGGAAGTGCAGCTTGATGTCGTCAGGGTGGTGCGGGTGGCACGGCCTCCCCTCCCCACTTTGGTCCACGGGACCGTCCCCGTCGCCCGCCTGCTCGTCCACGCCGCTGCCYCCCCCGCCGTGCTCGCAGGATGCCGGCGACCCCGCGTCCTCGTGCTCCTGCAGCTGAAGCACGCTGTTGTCGAAGTGCCCGCCTTCGCTCCGCGTCGAGTCCACACTCAGGGCCGCGTTCGCCGGACTGAGGCCGCCCAACGCGGAGTCCTCGTCCTGGCCGGGCGCGTGCAGCGGGGCGGGGAGGTTTGTCGGCGGAGCGAGGTCGGTGATGATCTGAGGAGGGAAGTTAGAGAGTGGGGCCTGAGGAGGTTGGGGTTGGGAGTTGGYCGAGTTTGATTTCTTCGTGGCGTCCCCGACCACAGTGAGTTTCAGCTCCTCCTTCAGCTTACCCACCAGSAGACTGGGGCAGGAAGTCCACGAAAGCACCTCTGGGGAGCTGCCCATGATGTCACGCATGTGCATGGGCTGCTCAGAAACGATGAGTTGGACGAGTCCTAACACATCGGTTAGTCTGAATGTTGAAAATCACCTGCAGAATGGAGAGATTAACACAGAGAAGAAGGAAAGGTGCATATTAAAACAACTGTACCATGGTCAATTTTCATCAAACATGAATAAGATTACAAGCGTTAACACGGTGACATCCTGTTACTTTCACAATGAAACACAGTCCTATCATTTCCACACATGGATCTGGGATTGAGTGAGATTACATTAATGATTATTATTTTAAGATATGAAGGGAAACCGCAGCAGATTGGAGGCTTAAAATCCATCTATAGAACATTCAGAGTAAATAAAAATGAGGCAACAGTGAAACTTAAAGTAAACAGTTGAATTAAACCAACCCAACACACACCCACATTAATACTGAGGCTTTTCCATCGCTGGCGCAGTAACGGTAAAGAAAAGGATTAAAGGTTGTTCCGTGCATTTTAGCTGCTGAAATAAAACATCTGGCACACACAAAGCTGCAGCAGGAGCGACAATRACAGCCCGTCAGTTTTCTATAGTCACAGAARCAACAAAAGATCTATGAAGTCCAAATGCAGTAAGTGTTACACAAGACACTGTTGACTGAGGTCAGAGAAGGGACAGAACACAACAGAAACAAACTGCAGCACCTATTTTCCTGATTGGTATCGGCCAACCTTTGTACACATTACAAGATTGGTCTTTGAGAAGAAACCTCAAAAAATAAAAGCACCAAAAATACAGAAGAATGTATTATTTTATTGCCAGGTRCATTTATCTTTACCTGTAAAATATAATATGGATCATATGGTCTACAATACTAATCTCAGCTAAAGCTCCATCTGCTGGCTCACATCCCACAGTTCTCATCAGAAACTACCTCTGGTGTCATCAGGTCACTCAGCTGATTGTGTGATAACCAGGTCTAACGACAAAGCAACATAAAATAAGCTGAAAGCTCATAAAGTGTATTAAGTGGATTTCAGGAGGAGATAATTTTCTAAAAAAAAGTAACATCTTAATATCTAATAATGACTTTATTTACAAACCTTGGACAAAAAAAAACCTCTATCAGCTGCTTCTTAAAAAGGCCCATTTGAAGTCATGAGGTCATAACCTCAATGATCCAATCCAGTTTAAAGAGGCAGCAGTAAACAGGAGGTTCAGCACAAGGATAGACGATGTGTACAGGCTGATCAAAGTCCTGCAGGGAGGAGATAAAGCTGTGAGCTGACTCTGTGTGACGTGGAAGTTTCATGGAGGAGACGAGAGCGGAGGCACACACACCGGTTTTACACTTGGATTGGATCAAAGTACTGTTTGGTCCTGATATGTTTGTTGTTCAAATGTAACACTCAGCGTGGATCCCACCTCAAACACTCAGATTGAAACAAAGTGATGCCGAGTGATTTCTGAAAGAGATTAAACGAGGCGTGCTCTCAGCCACCGGGCCATYTAGATGCTGTTTGCATGTTTGTGCAAATCCAGGTAGTGTGTCTCTGTGCATCCACCGGGGGGAAACCTGAGCGCTGTGAGAGCGTGGCGGCTGCCAGGAGCTCATCTATAATGCAGGCCCGTCTCTAATCAGGCTGCTGAGAGTGCAGGGGAAGGAGAGAARGCTCTCTCGGGTATCCAATAAATCCGTCCCGTTCCAGAGCAGAGACAAACGAGCTGCGCCGACAGAGGCCAGTGGTGTAATTCCACCTCGCAAACCAATTCTTGGAGCCGGGCTTTTGACGTGAGCCGCGGCAGGGTGGACGTGGTCTGCCGGGCAGCAACGTGCACATTTATCCTCACGAACCGTAACCTTTGTGACCAAACTGAAACTCTGCGATTATCTCTGAATAATGACCACAGAGCGCAGTCCGGTGCCTTTCAACCTTTTCCACGTCACCAAGCGGAGCAAAGAAACCTTTTGCTCCTTTTCATCAAACCCTAATGGAAGATCTCAACGTGCACACAGTCCCATGAATAATGTCGGCGCCTGATTGAAACGGGTTTCATTTACATGGTCATTTATTTACGGGACTTTCCGAAGGAGATCGCAAGTTTGTGCAAGGACACACTGAGCATCCAGCTGCTGGTGAAAAAAGAGAATTTGCTCGGAAAAGGATACAATGAATATTAGTGAATATTATTTAGGAGAAAGCYTGGAACGGGAGGGACAGAGGGGGAGAAATTATCAGGCTGATCCTTTAATCCCTCTACAGAGCTATGTGCACAAACACAAACCTTATTCTGTCCTCCCACTCACTTTGTTTCCTTCTTTTCTGTTTGGCCTCTCTGATGCCAACTCCACGTCAATGCATTACAGTATGTATACTTTTTATTTGTTATTTAAAAATAAAGTAGTGATAGACTTCATGTGTACATATACACAGGATTTGTTGGTGAAGTGGGGAGGGATCAGGTTTACACACATATGCCCAGGGCGTGTCTGGCAGAAGCCAATAATCCCACTACTCCCAGAAATCCACTGGGGAAAGAGGTTCGTTTTTGTAGCAGTCAGCAAACACCGGAGTGGTTGTTGGAGCTTTTTACAAACAGCAGCTGAACCTTTCAAACCGGAGACACTTTAAACACCAACACAGACACACACACACACACAGCGTCAGCAGCAGTCTCATCTGCCTCTCCATCACTCTGCTCCTCATTAAGAGAAGCCCTGCTGGGACCCACCGAGGGGAACCTCCTTTCAGGTGACAGCTGCGTCTCCGACAAAGGACCAATTTAGCCTCCATCCCCACCTCATCGTTCACACGTTACCATGTCAACGCTGCATCCATCCTGACCTTATGCTTGCAGTCCCACTCYATCTCATTCAGCTTTGAAGGCCACAACTGAGCACATGAAAGCTTTCATACAGAAACAATGTTTTTTCATGTAACAACAATGTAACCATTTTTAAGTAGAAATACTGCATTACATTAGTCTTAAAAATGGATATTGTGTAAAAATATATCTAATAAACCCGTATTTTATTTATTTAAAGTGTTTAAAGTAAGAAATTGTGTCTTTTTTTTTTTTTGGAAAAAAAATTTTCAATTAAGTGTTGTAAAAGTAAGTGACACAAATAAAAAAAACAACTGGAGGAGCACTTTATAACTAATTAGGATAGCTGGAAACCAGTCAGTAAGAGGACTGGGAATAAAAAGAGCGTTTTAGAGAGGCTCAATCTCTCAGAAGTAAAGCTGGGCAGAGGTGTGTCCAAAAATAGTGGAACAATTTCAGAATAACGCCCCTCAATGGAAAACTGGGAAYACTTTGCATATCCCATCATTTACAGTTAATAATAATATTAAGGCTGCGRYATATTTGAAAAACCTGCGATGTGCGATATTGGTGCTTAATATTGCGATGACGATATGATTTGCGATAAATGAACAAATACCAAATACATAATAATGCATTTTTGATGTCTTTCTGCTCTGGATTCAGAGCAAAAAATAAAATAAAATAAAATAAAATAAAATAATAATTTTCATTCCGAAATGACTTTTTTAAATGAAGGGATCCATCCAATTGGCCAAATACATTAAGGGCTCTATTTGATTGGTGAAATACTTCAAACTTCCGTCTGAGTGACAAAACTTGAAAATGCAAACTTTTGAGCCAACCATTTATTTCAGTTTATGCAGTTGTTGCGATATGAATATTGCACAGGCTGTTACTGCGATGACCACGAATTTTCTATATATCGTGCAGCCCTAAATAAAATCATCAAACAATTTCAATTATTGTTAAAGATTGTTGGTAAAAGAAGAGGTGATGCTTCACAGGGCCTAATTTTGTTCAAATGGAGGTTATAACAATAACGTAAAGTAAAAATTTCACTTTTTCCCCACAGATATTTTCTTATTTAGAGATTTTAGTGACACATACACAAAACCGTTGACTAAAATGCATATGACTGCACAGATTACCCTCTAATTTGCTCATTTCCAGGAGGAACAACAAATAGCTGCATTAGAACCTGTCTGTCCCTCCTGAAACAAGTGAAACACAGATGGTGAGAGCTGTGCTGGTCTCTACAGAGCATGTGACTTTGTTATCCTCAGTCCTCTCATATCTGCACCTACTTCTCAGATCTGTGCAGACTCTGGACTCTCAAGGTCTGAGCTCAGCGCGTGAGTAAACAGTGTTACAAAATGGAATCCGACGCTCACAGATGTCTTTGTTATGGCTGGAGACGACAAAACTAGACAGTTTGTAGCAAAGTAAACATGAAATTATATTAAAAAGTTTTGTTTTGATTGTAGGGATGTTTAAAARCAGCTTTTAATGGAAGAAACTGAATAAACTGCTGTAAACTAGTCAGCAGATGATGAGCATCTCATGGCTGACATTTTGTGAAAATCCTTCTTTCCTCATGTTCCCGTGCCCTCTGGTGACTCGCCTGAGTTTAATACCTGCGATGGCCGGAAAGCAAAGCAGGCCACAGTGCAAAAATAATCCTCACCTGCAAGTTATAAGGTGGGAAAATAAGAACAAGGTCAAAGCTGCAGCTAAAGCCACAGGGAACGGAGCAGGTGGACTGTTAGTCCTGTAAAGCCAGATTTTATTCTGGGCGAGGATAAAAGTGAATGAATGAAACAGCAGAGCAGACACCGAGTGTTGTGTACGGAAAATAAAAGTGCGTAAATCCAATTTAACAAATCACCGCTCTCGGAAGGAATCCACTAAATGTCAGCAAGGAAAAAAAAATAAAACTATGAATCATTGGTGCTCTAAACAAAAAAACGGTTCCTCAAATAGCCTCAGCTGGTTCCAGCCGGTGTAGGAGAAAATAATAAACTGAAGAAAAGAGAGTTTGATCCACGGACGCGTCACTCGCTCTCTCTCCTCCAGACTCGCTGCAGTCAGGGCACACAGGACAAACACCGTCCATACTGTCCTCTGAAAAGCTTACAGAACTTCAAAATCAGTCATCCAGGTGACCATTTCCTTGAAGTGAAAGCGGGATGACAGGACCAAGAAGACTGCGGAGGAGGAGATTTACTCCCAGAAAAGAAGAGGTGGAAAAGGGAGATAAAGGAAAGATATGAAGGGTAGTGTTTTTTTTCACAATAAAAGCAGAAGAGAAATAATATAAGCCAAGCAAATCTTAAAGGAATGCACATCACACACCACCTTTAATYCTGGAGATTTAAGACTAAAATAGTTTTATTAATATAAATGAGCTGTTTTGAGCAACCTAAAACTTTTGCTCAATCTAATGTAATAACATGAGATAAACTCAGATTGTTGTAAATGACTCTCAGCTGCTACTGCATCAAATATTAGCTCAATATCTGTAAGATTGACTGACTTATAGTCATTCTTGTGTTTTCAAGGTCAACTGGTTGGAACCACCGTGAAGCTTCAAAGGTTAATGAGTTTTTTACCTTTAGTTTCATTAAAAATCATCCACTGGTTTGAGAGATTTGTTTGCATCACCTGCTGCCGAATGACAAACGCGGGCAAATATGAATGTGTGAAAAAAAACAACAACTCAGAATCTGTAGCTACTTTGGCAGCTTGAGGTACAAACCTCTAACGAGACTCTAATGAGAAAGAGTCCCAAAGCAACAACAAAGGGCACAAGAGGAGCCGGCTCCATGTGATCTGGGTCTGTCGGCCCTGCACGGCCAGGAGACAGCAGCATGCCAACGCACACACACACACAAACACACACACAGCACACTAGAGCAGCTGCTGCAACAACAATTCCCCTTGTGCTCCTTTAATGGGGACGGTCTGCCCGGCCCGCCAACAACAAGGAGAGAGACAGACAAACATGCATATTGCAGGAGTCTGGCTGTGACTGACACCAATTTTTAATAGATGGAATATGAAAATACACAAAGCCTAAGAGCTAAGAAGAAAAAAAAGAAGTGGAGTGTATGTCTGGTGGGAGTGAAGGGGTGTTGGACTACATGTTTCATCTCCTGTCTGAAGACAGACTTCACCACAGCAAAAAAGCCAGGAAATCAATACACATTAGTGCTACAGCTACAGTACCTCCTGGCTTTCTACTGTCCCTGCTCGCTCTTAAAAAACACAAATCTTAAAAGTAAATCTACCCCAGCAGATGAAGTCAGACACAAAGGAGGAGAAACTCACAGATTTGAATGAGCTGCCATTATTTAAAATGGAAAAAAAAGAAGAGTGGATGGATCTCTGCTGCTCCACCCCTCCTCCTCTCTCTTCTAAAGCCTGACCGCTGGCTATTCATCCTGTGCCGTTACATAAACATGCTTAGCAGGGGACAGAGGTGGGCTCACTTTAAGCTTCCCTCAAGTAAATTAAAAGATGCAAACAGGAGGAGGACAGACGAACAAACAGGTGAAAGGAAGTAAAACATATGAGGTGGTTAATTGAGAGGTTGTGGGTACAAAACACGTGTGTCCCAGAAAAGACAAACCATGACTCAGACTCAGATTCATGTGGTTGCATAAATAAAACAAAAAGGTGGGACTCAGAGGAGTGGTGCTACTTTAACCTACGTCTTCACCTGTCTGTCCTTCAGAGGGCACAGACAACACTGCATCAAAAAGCAGCAGCAGCAGCGTCACCGCCGAGCCGAAAATAGCTCCCGCACGCACCAACGCATGAGCGCACACAAAACTCCTGCAGCTCTGCTGACGATGAAACCCCAACATCGGATCCACACGCAGACATGGGAAGACGTCTCTTTACACATATGTGATAAACTGCAAATCAGAGGAGACAGGTACCCACGAGGAGGAGGAGGAGAGGAACCTCCACATCAAACACTCAGATCAGGAGATTACTCACAGAGAGAGCTCAGATTCATGGTCCTGTCTCAAATCCGATGGAGGACAGAAAAAAAAACTGGCCAAACTGACAGCGAGTAAAAATTTTTTTAAAAAAGAGGCTGAAAACGGGACAAACATTCCTCTGACTCCCGCAGCACCTGGTCCAGGAGTGGGCGGGCGGCGTGTATCGCCACCGTGTCGCTGAGGACCTGCTCACGTCACACTTTTCATGAATGGAGGTGTCTGACGCAGCGAGGACGCACCTCACGGAGCAGAGGAGGAGGAGGGAGGGACGACGAGGGGGTTTTCGTAGGTGGAGTTTTCGGCGCAGACTCGGAGAGGGAGGAGCGAAGCGGGATGAGGCAGAACGCAAGAAGAGACGAGATGCAGGAGGGGTGGCGGCTGGTTGGGCGGGGGGAATAAATTTCAAAGCAGCACCAGCTGGAAACAGCAGGTTCGGCTGCTGTGGTGTTTCTGTAAGTAGGACACAGTTTCTGCACAAGAGAAAATCCTTTTTTTTTTTACTGAATCGGTAATCAGTTTTGTTCAAGCCAATTGAGACAATTGTGAGCCGCCCGACGCTTCGACTATTTGCATTTCAATGCAACACGAAGGTGTGAAATCTTTAAAAATGTGCCTACAACACAAAACATCTCAACRATATCCTCTGTAGGCTTAAAGTTTAATAAGTGTTGTCTTTATGCTCATGTTTTTCACAGAAACACAGGGAAAAGTAAARATGAACAAGAAGCGAAAAGATAAATATGGGATTAATTAAGATAAACACAGACAAGAGAGAACGTCTCTTCTAAAAATACACATATGAATGCAGAAAGCTGAACAAAAGCTAGACTAAATGTGAAACTGTAGCTCAATAACCTAAGAATAATCTTGACAGAAATTAAAGCTAAAGGGAATGATTTCACAACTTGATTACGCTTTTAAAAATACACCGTGCAAACACTTTTTTGCTGCAACTTATCTCACTGGGCTGCAACTGTTAGAGTCAAACTGGTGACCCAAAATTTTATATTGTGGTAAAAAATTGCATGAAATTAAGGCAAATTTTCTGTTMCAGTCTCACTTTATTCTCAGTGTTTGTGAGCAAACAACAAGGGAGTAGCGTGGCTTTGTTTCCAACAACCAGTTTTAGAAAATCACTACTCATTTTTCCYTGCACGGCTTGCAAAACACACAATTTGCCGTCCACCTCTGCCCAATTTAGCTCGTTTTGTATCCACATCCAGCTGCCCGTGGGTTTATAAAAATACAGCTATAATGATGCTTTTGAGATGAGCTGGACATGCTCGCAGCAAAATCCAGGTGGGGTTGGGGACCCTCTCGTGTCAACCCTGTGAATATTCTGAGAGAAAATTTGTTTCGCAAATTTTTTAAAACATGTGAGGATGACGTCTTTCACATTAAACGAGATGACAATCCAAGGTTCAGTATATAAGCACTTGTGCAGAACAGTATGAATAAGAACACCTCCAATAAAAACTAAGCATATCATAAATAAATAAATACACTGATGAATCTTCAACGACTGCTTTCCACAAATTAAGGATTTAGAAAGCAACCAGTGCAGTAGCTTTAATACAACGTTAAAGTGCCCGTGACATCAAACTTTTGTAATAAATGTGAATGRGTTTTTGGAAAGAGAACACTGATAACATTTTGCAAAACAAATTTCACGCTGTTGAGATGAACAGCTGTTCAGATATGTGCATGTGAAGAAACAGGAAGTGATGTCAAAGGCGAATATCTGCATGTAAGCAGAGTGATGCTACAGTAATTAGGGAAGAATTTGGTGTTTCTTTAGATTATTTTGAGTCACTATCAGAGTTGAAGGAGTTTAAATTGTTTCAATAAACAATGATTAGAGAGTTTCTTTTCTTAAAGAGTTCCCCTTTGATGTCACTTCCTGTTTCACTTTTCTGAGCCAAATTCAAGAAAAGATAAGCCAGTTATGAGACAAAATGGGCAAAATCATGTGTATTATGCTAATTTTCTTAAATATAAATGTTTTCTTTGWCTTTTTGTATTTGAAGGATCAGCATGTCACAGGCCCTTTAATTTCWTAACAGAAAAGCAACAATAACATAAAAAAATTAAAAGGGCAGAGCCTGAATAGAATGTCATGGGAATTATGGTTTTCTTTTCCCAAAAAGGTCATCTGACMTTCCTCACCATCTCTTTGTAAGCTCAAGTTTCCTTTTTTATTTCCTCATGGGAGCTGTGTGTGTAATTGTGTGTTTCTGCATATGTGTGTGTGTAGAGTACTGACCTGTCAGAATGGTTCTGAGCATCTCAGAGGTCAGCACCGTGGGATCTAGTCTCCAGTTACTGCTTCTAACCTGCACACAGACACCAAGCAGGAAGAGGAGTTTTTAAATGTCGTTATTTAATTTAGTAGTTGTTGATAACTGGAGCATTTCTGACAACCAGGACTAAATGAAGTGGTTTTAGCTGAGATTGAATCTGACTGAGGGAGTAAATCATAAATACAAAGATTGATTGTAAGGGGAGTCCTGTGGATGAGGGGATGAACTCAGAGAACAGATGCTTCCCACATGGAGCGCTTGTTTCAGACCTAACCCTCTGGGGAGGGTGATGATGGGGTGGGGCAGCAGAAATGTAATGGTGCATAAAGAGCATTGGGGGTTGGGATTTTGGAGCGGCATTGTCCAGACTCCCCCMTGAGGGAACCCTGAAGGAGGAGGAGGGCTCGCATCCTGGGGCAAAGAGCAGTGGATAAACTGCGTGAAATGAGCCACAGTGCAGATGGCTGCTGGCTCTTTGGAGATATTAAGAAACGGGCGTGTGTTCGGCCTCTTAAAGTTTCTCTTTTTGACGCACTGCTGATGAACTTATCTGGCAACAAGAGTGGTTCAAGAGGTTCATTGTTACTGTGCTGCTGAAGACAACTATGCACACATTAAACAAAGCAAGGGGKTTTCCAAAAACACTGCTCCAGTTAAATATTGACAAAGTGGAAAAAAGACCATCAATATCCATACAAGAGTGTGATCCTAATAACAGAGCTGTTTGCTCAGAAGGAATATCAAACCTGTTCTAAAATCCAAAGATCATTTSAGCATAACCCTCGGTGCTTGCATGAAACACACATTCAAATACTAAACTGTATACAAAAACTTTAAAAAAGATTTCTACAGACGCTGCTAATTCAGCTGTCATTATGTAAAAAGTTAAGACGACTCCTTTAAAATTTTAGTTTTTACAAACCCACACCAGCTTTTAATAAATATAATTTATAAAACATACAGGGATTTTTCTGTTTGTCATTTTGTTTAAAATGACACAATGCACATTATATTTCCCACTAACATACTATATACATGTATCTTTGTACATACTCTATAATACATGTATATCATAAACACTACTATCATAGGTGAAGTACCATATGTATATATGTTGTGCACCCTGCCTGCACTGTTCTGTTTCTGTTACCCAAATTTTGTTGCTGTTTTCTTTGCTATTTAGTTATTTGCTGTTCAACATTTTGACTTTACACTGTATATATTACTCTAAATTTTTGTTTATTTACTCTTTGTGCATCTACTGCAAACTGTGAATTTTATATTCAGTATTGTCTTTATTTTTATTCTTTATAGCGAGTCCAAGAGTTTCTTCTCATCCTAAGAATTTCATTGCATTGTTGACCCTCGTTAACCTGCATATGACAATAAATGAATCCTGAATCCTATGTTTTAAGAACCTGTCACACGATAACGTTTTACACAACTTGTGCTGACTTGTGAAAATTTTGTTATGACCAAATTACTATAGGTTGTGTATTTTTCATCTAACCATTATCATCACAGTATATAGATTTATGTAGAATTTTTCTTCCATCTTCAGTGTTGGAAAAACATTTTCATAATTTCACATAAGTTGTCTAAAACATTTTAGTGACAGGCCTTTACCAGCAGTTTGACAGGTTAAGGAAATAAAATATTAAAAATAATAAAAAAGACTACAAAAAGAGCACAGCCAATCAAATTAGAAATTAGATAAATGCAAGAATGAAAATAATTTCATAATTTATTATTCTGAAGCAGCTTTCCAATAATCGTTGCTGGTCTGCTGATCAACTTTTACTACAAATAAATAGCATTTGGCATGTTTTTTCAGTTCCCTAAAGTGTTTGATTTACCGCACTTTTGTGCAAAATATTTACGAGTAGTTGAAACTTAATTATGTATTCTTGAACAAAATGTAAAATCTACAAAAAGGAAAAAAAAAACAATGTTTAAAGGACTTATTTTGATAAATATTAACATGAGAGTGTTGAGTTTTACATCACAGCAACATTAATCCGTACTTTGTAGTTTTTACTGTTATCGCATCATTTGACCCTTGTTTAAACTTTTGTATTTGCTGTCAATAATTACATTTCCTGCTCAATTAGCAGGAGGATAATCTTTTCTAATTGCATCAGTGGTCCGTTGTATACAATCATAAGATGACTTATTTCTTGTCGCTGTCGTTTAAAATCAAAACAATTCCAAAGCAAACATTTAAAACTAATCTGACCTCTGTTTCTCTGCTGGGATTAATCCAGTGATCCTCCCGCTCTGCTGCCATCTCCGACATGAAGCAGAGCCGCTCAGATGTGGCCTGGCCTCGTGTCCGAGCTGTAAACCACACTGACTCAGCACCGTCATGCACACTCATTACTATTTCACCAGCAGCTGAACAGCAGCACTGACAGCTCCGGTGTCCCCTTCATCAATAAGAGATGAGCTTACAGAGGTTTACCTTTCCAATCTGCCAGCACGGGCATGGCCCAGATACAGACACGCCAACCTAAACCCACACATCTATAATTACTGACAAATATACAACACCTCTATGAACGACAGRTACATCCTGCAATGTGAGGACACGGAGTAGGACTCGTGTCTTTTCACTAATGTTGAATAACCTGTGGGTTATAACTAAAAAGACATGTTTATTTTATATCATGGGGAGGAAATCAGACAGTAAGCAGCATTCTCATAATAAAACTTCAGTTTCTTTCTGTATTCATGCCACAATGTAAACTAATATAAGTTCTAACTAGAGAGTTTGCATTTTTTTTGCAAAAATCCAACATGAATGCTCAATGATGAACAATTTTCACAGAAAAAAAWGTACAAAAATGTTGCTATTTGTTGTAAAATAGTCAAAAAGCTGAAATTTGCCAAAATAGTAGC